TTTAGAGTTTTAAGAATAAAAATTCTTTTTGAAATAGATGCAGAATCGCTTGTCCTCTCTTAATACGGTAGAATCATAGATAAGTTTTAATAACCAATAGAAAAAAAACTCGAGTGATTTTAATGATAGCAGATGAGTCTTTTGCTTTATTAGAAAAAAATGAAAATATGAAATATAAGAAAATAGAAGCCATTCAGTTTTATATGTGTTCATGAACACATTTATTGACATCCATTTAATTTATTATTATTATTTGTTTTACAAATAATATATGTATGTGTATGATCATAAAAGTATCCCCACCAACGTCGTAGACCATTTTTAGGATTAACTTTTTGATCCATATCATTTATGCCTGGTACAAACCAACCGGACCATCCACCGTTAAACCATTGAATTTTGTATGCAACAATCTTGCCACATTTAATAGCCCAATCAAGATTTAAGTCTATTCCACCAAGTGGCCAACGTTGATCGGAGGTTGCTGGTTCATTTGTTACTTCTACACAACTACCTTGTGTACTAATATCAAAACAACCATAATTACCATCACCTTGATCCTGACATGTCGATGGTTGTTGTTGTCCAAAACACAACACCAATAAACAGCAGAAACTAGCGATTATTAAATAGGTAGACAACATTTTCAATCTTGTATAAAGAGTTAGTGTTATAAGACGATTGCATAGTCGCAGCCCTTTATATACGACATTTACTTTCTCTATTTCAAGAATAATTTTAATAAGAAGAACGAAACAAAATTACTTATACATGCAGCAAAAAAGCCTGATTTTTTTCAAGTTCACATTATGCTGACATCTACAATAAGTATAGATGTTGAAGTAAAGAGGAACTAGTTTTGCATATTAAATAAGTAGTATTATGTGTAGAAATTGAAACCAACTTTGTACGAAGAAATCCAAAAAAAAAAGAGAAACTAACATATAACTATGCCATAACGAGCTAGGGAAGAACTTTTAAAGCTGGGATCATCACAATTATTTTCATTGCCAATGATTTCTTTCGATTTTTTCACTGCCAAGTAGAGTGTGGGCTGTGGGTGTGGGTGTGGATGTGGGTGTGGTGTGTCGGGTGTGGGTATGGGTGTGGGTGTGGATGTGAGTGTGGGTGTGAGTGTGGGTGTGAGTCGAAGTGTAGGCGCCTGTGGATATGAAAAGAAGTCGTTTCTTTGCTTAACCCACCCCCCACTGACATTCACGCCCTCACACCCACACCCTATTTGGATCAGTAACAGTACTTCAATCAAAAACAACTAAGCGAAAACCTGGAATACAAATGGTTTACCGTTTATTTCATTTCGTATCCCTGACGAATTCAATTGTTTCTTGAAATTTAACGCTTGTCTTCATCAAAATATCAGTAAAAACTGAACTAACAGAAGCTATTTGATTCTCATAAAGTACATATCTCACATAAGTATCTTCCTCGCTATGCACTTTCTATTGGTATATTCTCTGCTTAGTCATATGGAGTATTATTAGTGTACACTGGAAGTCAATTGGCGAGTTTATTAGTAGAGACAAATCTATATCTAGGCATGCTATACTCACCTCTCAACTCGTGCCGTACCATTACTCTCAAAATTTTTATTATGCCTACTAGTTTCTTCTTGGGGTGCGGTGTGGGATGGATATTAGCGGGTGTGGATGTGGGGGTAAGGTGTGGATATGTATGGAATGTGGAGTGTGAATGTGGTTGTGGGTGTAGGTGTGCGTGGTGTGGTGGGGTATGGGTGTAGGTGCGAACAAAATCAGATTAACACCCACACCCACACCCGTACCCACACACACACACACACTCATACCTACACCCACACCCGCGCCCATACCCACACCCACACCCACCCACACCCACCACACTCCACACCCACACCCCACCCACACCCTGATTTAGGCCGCAATTTCACAAATCTTTCGATAACTTATTATTGCACGTTTTATTTACAGTTTATGCATCTTTTCACCTTATTGCTTGCTCACTATTTACCTGCATACATTATTTTTTTTAAATATTTCTGTGCATTTTGTAGGAGGCTTATCATTATATTCTCGTCAGGTATTAGAAAAAGAGGAAGTATTGATGTTAATTTAATCGCGACGAAAGAAAAGAAAATGCAAATGTGCACATGTATAAAGCATAAAAGGACAGAAAGTGCAGATGTGCGCATTTAGAGAACGAAAATAGACTACGTCGAAAATGTAGAAAAAGCGGTATGGGTGCAACATGTCTACATTCATTTATTCAAAATTTTATTCCAAGATGCAAACGAGAGCGGTGTATATCTTTTTCTTTCTGACAGCAGTTGTTGCTCACGTCAGTGCAGAAGAAAGTGCTTGCTATGCACTGCCTATGTTCTACGGTGGCATATGTACATTGGACACGGCTGTATTTTCTCCTGCGGGTGCGATTTCCTCTTATAGAGCGTAGTACAGTGTCACTGTAAATGGTAACGCTGGTACACTAGCATGCTGCAACGGAAAAGGCTTCAATCCTTCAGAGATATGGACCTCAATCGGCTGTGGATATGACACTTTTTCTGGCACAACGGTCTCGGGAAACAATCTTGCTCAACCTGCAATCAAATGCAAAGGGGTACCTTTCGGTGCTACTCTTTCGTGGAAGCATTGGGCCTATAATCGTAATGACTTTCTTCTTGAACTATTTTTTTGACGTGATAAACCATCTAAAAATTTAATAAACGATTTCTCATATTTTACCCTATCAGAGCAGAAGCATACGTTTTGAATATGGGTGTGGGTGTGGGTGTGGATGTGGATGCGGGTGTGGGTGGCTGCGGCTGTCAGTGAAGACAAGACTACCAATCACACCCACAGCCAGTCACACCCTTGAAAATGATTGTATCTTGGTTAAAGTTCGCGATAATATAGTCGTTGGAGTCTTTTTTAGAATTTGAACTTGTGTTTTACAAATCAGGGACGGATGTTGGTAATAGTGTGCTATTCTTATGTGTATTCACACCCGCACCGCTGCGTAGCTACCGATATATCTACCCCTGTGCTGACACTCACACCCATATTCAAAACGTATGCT